CTAAGGTTTGTAAGAATATAACACTAACACTCTCAACTAATCCAGCAAATGATGTTTACACAAAAAATATTTGTTTACCGAGTACTGAAACTATTGGTATGCATAAGCGAACTAAAATAGTTCTTCTTGTATTTTTAAAACATGATACCATAGAAAGTTGGTGTTGATGTCTATCTACTTGGTATGCTTAACATACAATCAAAAAAATGATAGACTATTCAAGGAGCACGGGTTTCATCGGAGATAGTTTGGCCTCACATAACAATAGTGATAGAGACTTTCATTGAAGAGTGCCGACTTAATCTATATTGCAAGATGTATGTAAAAAGTTTACATATAAGATAGGAGAAAGCCACAATTTTGACCATTTTTCGTTGAAGTTTTATTGGATATAGAAAGAAGGACTTCGTAATATGGCTCAACGCTCTGCGTACCAAAAGCACCCTTAAGAACATGTTTTGTAGGTTACATATATTTTTCAACTTCAATAATAATTATAAAGTTAATTAAATATATAAAAAAAACTAACAACAAAGTCAATTCATACCAATTTCAAGATAAGAATCAAAATATATATATAAAAAACTAATATATATATATATATATATATATATATATATATATATCTTATAAAAACTCTTTAACAACCGTTCTTTTAAGAATTCATATTTTTTATTTATAAAACGATGATGCTTTTAATTCATTAAAAAAATGGTCCCTTATTTTATGAAACAAATAATCAATAATATAAAGAAAATGTTTCTCCACGTGGAAATTAAATTAAGATTCGATTTTGCAATCTGAAGATGAACATATTTGACCTCAACTTGATTTTTTCAACTCGCATACATAGACAAAGTCAACTAAGTTTGTGGACGAAATGAATTAAGCCAATTATAGGTAGGGCTGCGTTAAAATATGATCGAATTGTCGCATTAAATTATGATGGAATTGTTCCGTTATAAAACGTTTATCCAGTGATAGTCACCATTTTTACTTACTTTATAGTATAACATAGTTATAATTATTAAAATGGATTAATGGTAAGTTTTTATAACCAAGTAAATACTTATCGGATAAAAGTCATCACCCTCATTTATCAAATAAACTCTTGATCATTGTCTTCCTGTTACCGGATAAGATTCTCGATCCCTGTTGTTTACACCCAGTAAGGTAATTGAAAACGATTAGCATTTACCAAGATAAGTGGTTAGTAAACGAGCTTTTACTCTTTCCTATAATAAATGTCCACTATAGAATCGAGACACAATTTTAGACATTAACAATTATTGCATTTTTTTAGTTAACTAAATGACAATTTTATCCTTGATTAATGTATTTATCTTAATAACTCGTAAATATTTGTGAATTAATTAAGGATAAAATCGGAATTTAGTTACTTATTTTGGGACATATATTGGTTAGATTATTTCCAACAAATATGCTATAATTGTTTTTGATGATTTAAAACAATTTTAAGTTCTAACAACTATGCTATATTGAATGGTAAAAAAAAAAAAGGAAAAAATAGATTATGAAAATCTCTAAATTTATGATAATCTCTGAATAAATTGTAGAGAAATAATATTTCAAAAAATAAATGTTTAATAAAAAGAAACTAATACTTTATGAAATGTATGAATATTTTAATTATATATATATAGTTGATATTAGAATTGTTACAAATGAATAATTATTAAAGTTAATATAATTTTTTATAAAGATTTTACTTCTAATATTTTTTTTTTAAATTAAAACATACCTATCAAAGATGCTATAATTAGTATTAATTTGACAGGTGGGGCCATTAAGAAAGTAAACTTATTCGAGTGGGCACAGACAATTAAATGTCATAACGTAATTTTTCCAGGTTGTTTTAAGATGAATATAAAATTAGTATATGGAACTTAATGTAACCTGACTTTGCAAGTAATTTTGTAGAGCCAAGTGATTTAATATTAATAATATTATGAATTATCATTCATGTTATTTGAGAGATTCAAGTTTTGATGATATTTCTTAAAATTGATATATATATATATATATATATATATATATATATATATATATAGAGTAAGTTTGAATTAAAATTTTAATTAAAGGGTATTTTGGTTATTTTAAAAACTCTCCTCTCCCCTGTTCTGACCTTCGACCTCGAGTGAACTTATTCCGGCGAACACCAAGATACACAATATGATACCTAAAAACATCGACAATGTTAAGGAAAATATACATAAAAACGACCTTTAGTGTGATACACACTGTGATACCTAAGAACTTCTAACAGTAAGACACAAACACAATCTGATACCCACTACGATACCACTGAACCTGCTGTGATACACATTGTGATGCCTAAGAACTTTAATATACAAATTCATTGTGATAATAATGTGATACCTACTGTGATATCACTGTGCTACCGTCTTGAATATGGATTAAGACCAAATCTTATATAGGTTTTATATCAAATAAAGAAACAATAGCCTCAAAAATAGGGTTCAAACCAAAAAAAAACCCTTAAAAACATGGATCTGGAAACCAAAAAAAACTCATATTTGAAACTAGAGAGGGGAGGGGTTTTAGAAACCAGATCTATCTATATCACCGTCATCATCTGCTCCGATAATGTAGTTCACGTTGGTGTTTGATTTCAATGCATTTATGAATTCTTAGGTCCTTGGTTTTTGATTTTCAAACACGAATCTTCCCGTCCTGATGGCCGGTTATCGATCAACCACCCAAGTTCTATCACCTCATCTCCTCCTTCCCCGTCAGTTACCGATATTTTTTTTAACGACTCATTTCCATGACTGCTAGTAGAAATTGAGGGAGATGGAAAGAGAGAATCTTTTTTTTTGTTTGATTAGTGGTGAGAGATACGGAAAGATTTGATGAGCCTGGTATATGGAAAGATATAAACATGAATTATAGTTTTATTTATTAAATTATCCTTTATGATTATTTAAAATATAATAATTATTTTCTTAAATGATTAGTTAATATTGAATTTCACGGTTACCACAAATTAAACAGTTCTCATTTGATTAGACCCCTATATAAGAGTCCATTCAAAGGATAACTGATTAGTTTGTGATAACTGTGAGATCTAATATCAACCACAATTTAATGGATAAATTAGGAAACCAATATTTTTGATAATTTGACTTAAAATTATAATTAAAGTGATTTTTAGGTATTTTAAATTTTTTATCTTTGTTCTCTCTCTCCTACCTCCGGTCTCCGACGAACACCATGTAATACCCAAAATACACAATGTGATACTCAAAATAGATACAATATGATACCAAAACACACTAAGTAAACTTTTGAGACCACTGTGATACCAATTGTGATATCAACTGTGGTACCACTGTGATATCAACTGTGGAGGGGATAGAGGAAGGGAGATAGGTAGTGAGGGACAAAGATGGGGCTAGCTGTCGGGAATGCTAATAAGTGGGTGTTTAGTGGTCGATCATTAGAGACGGTGTCTTGGTCAGACAAGATGACCGAAGGAGGTCAACGGAGTGGTGAAGGGTGCCGTAGAAGGCCACCAGATTCGGTCCATGTGTGTCCGTGTGTATATAAATACATATATTAAAATAATTAAAGTAATTTGAATAATCAACATAATTTATAAATTTACCCTTTGTTTTATTTTAGTAAATAACATTCATTATCTAAAATGATTGGTTCATATAATTAGACCTCACAGTTATCACAAACTATTTAGTTCTCATTTGATTAGACCCCTATATACATAACCAAAGTTATTTTGAGAAGTGATAAATATTTGAGTAAAGAAGTAATCCTACCCCTTCATACTGTCAAGATCATATTTGACTGGTCAAAAATTGCGGCTATGTGAAAAATAGAGATGGTAGTTTCGTAAATTTTACAAATAAGCGGCAAACGAATTCATATATGAACCTATATGTGGTTCACATATGAACAATATATTCATACATGAACTCGTGTATTTCAAATATGGACAATATGTTTATATGTGAACTCATGTAATTCACATATGAACTATTTTAACTAATTCATCTATGAGCTTTTGGGTTCATACATGAATCAGTTTAATATTTCACATGTGAACTAATTAACGGGTTCACATATGAACATATAGTCCATATATGTATCATATGGGTTCATATGCACCATATTTGTAAAAGTTAATACAAATACAAACATGCCAAGAATTGGTCGGATAATGCATTGATTACTTAGTTGACTTCCTGATAGCATTCAAGAAATAGTTTGTAGGGAATTCAGATTGCATGAAAAACCAAGTTCATCTATGAACAAATGAGGTTATGTTGTAAAACCAACAAAGACAATTTCATATAGAATTTTCAAACATGAACCATATTTACCTTACCTTTTGACTTAAGGTACGTATGATGAAGTAATTCAACTTAAATTAAAAATAGATAATTAAAAAACTAAAACGATATAAATTAATAGTTAGGAAATGAATTTAACCTTTTTTTTATTAATCTAGATATCCAACCCGCTTTGCGAGCCGACTAATCCCAAGACAACCACCTGTTTTACAAATAGTCTGGAGTCACCGCATTTAAACCTTCGTGGCCATAAGAAGATTTTTATTTCTCTTTGGATTTGAACCTAAGACCTTATGATATTTTTGATCTTTGGAGACAAGCTAAAACCAATCAGACATCATCGAAGTTAATTTAACCTATTTTTTGATATAAAAACAAAAATACTAACCGTTATGTCAATTGTTGTCCTGCTTTCCCCGCCCTCCATAACTATTTATTTCCCCATGCATTAAATTACATAAAATACCACCGCGTTCCTTCCATTTGCCAAGTCAAAGCTTTGACCAAATCACCCCAACCTTTCTCTATATATACCCCCTCCTCTACCTTCATTTCCAGACCTTATAATCTCTCTTGTGTTGCTTTGATTCTTCTCTTTGTTTGTTTGCGATATCTAAACCAATTGAACATTTTTGAAGTAAAACTTGATTTCTTTTTTGTAAATTTCTTGAAATCATCATGAGGGGTAAGCTTTTTACGTCATCTAAAGCTTCGTCACCTTCGAATTCTTATGCTCAATCTCCGGTGATGTCTCCTATGAACACACCTTCCCATCATCGAACCTTTTCGGTTTCCATCATGGAAGAAGATTTGATGTATGCTGAACAAATGATCAAGAGGTGGGATCTTGATTCTCCGTTTTATACGAAAGTGGACTATCTCTTCACTGGAGATAGACGTGAAGCTCGACAGTATGTGAAGGCGGTTAAGAATTTGCAGTCGGCGATGCATTGTTTTGTGTCGGAGAGTGGTAGCTCGGAGAAGATTATTCATGCACAGAAGTTGATGCAGATTGCGATGAAGAGGTTGGAGAAGGAGTTTTATCAGATTTTATCTGCGAATAGAGATGTCCTTGATTCGGAGTCGGTTTCTAATCGATCATCAAGAGGTAGATCAAGTGTTTCAGATGATGATGATGATGTATCAGAGGAAGATGATCGAATTTCATCGTCCGGAAACACCGTTTCTGATGGAGAAAGAGTTTCGGTTTCAGAATTGGCTATGGCTGATCTCAAATCGATTGCTGATTGTATGATCTCATCGGGCTATGGATTAGAGTGTGTAAAGATTTACAAAATTATCAGGAAATCGATTGTTGATGAGACGCTGTATAATCTCGGTGTTGAGAAGTACAGTTTCAATCAAATTAACAAGATGGATTGGGAAGTGATCGAACCTAAAATCAAGAGCTGGTTATACGCCGCGAAAGTTGCAGTGAAATCGCTCTTTTACGGCGAAAAAATTCTCTGCGACTACGTGTTTATGTCGTCGGAGAAGATAAGAGAATCGTGTTTTTCCGATATCTGCAAGGAACGAGCAATCGTGCTGTTTGAATTCCCGGAACTCGTGGCGAAATCGAAGAAATCTCTAGAGAGAATGTTCAAAACATTGGATCTGTACAACGCCATCTCAGAGCAGTGGGCGGAGATCGAAATGATCTTCTCCTACGATTCAATGGCCGTCGTTCGCACACAGGCCGTCACGTCACTCGTTAAACTCGGCGATGCCGTCCGAGCAATGTTATCTGATTTCGAGGCGGCGATCCAGAAGGAAATATCAAAAACTCCGTTTCACGGCGGCGGTGTTCATCCTCTAACACGTTACGTCATGAACTACTTAGTTTTCTTAAGTGATTACAGCCTGGCACTCTCCGATATCGTTGCCGACTGGCCACTTCAGATACAATCGCCATTGCCGGAATCTTACTTCTCAAGCTCCTCCTCCGACGAATTATCGTCGATCTCCGCTCGTTTCGCGTGGCTGGTGCTCGTTTTGCTCTGTAAGATCGACGCCAGCGCCGAGCTCTACAGAGACGTAGCTCAGTCGTACCTGTTTCTCGTCAACAACCTAAACTACGTCGTTTCAAAGGTTAACAGCTCCAATTTGAAATCCGTTATCGGCGACGATTGGTTGGTGAAGCACGATCAGAAAGTGAAACAATACATTGGAAACTACGAACGAATGGCCTGGAGTAAAGTAATCTCATCGTTACCGGCGAATCCAACTGCTGATAATCTAACGATCGAGACGGCGAAGGATTGTTTCCGACGGTTCAATCAAGAATTCAGCGAAGCTTACCGAAAACAATCCACGTGGATAATTTCCGACCGGAAAATCCGAGACGAGATTAAAATCTCGGTGGCGAAAAAGATCACGCCGGTGTACCGGACGTTTTACGAAAGATACCGAGGGGTTTTTCGAGGCGTTGATTCAGTGGTCAGATATGCCCCTGATGATTTGGGTAATTACTTGTCCGATTTGTACCATGGTAACAGAGCTCCGGGAAGCACCAATACGTCGTCGCACTCTTCTATGTCTTCTTCCTCCTTATCGGGAAGCCGTTGAAACGGTTTTTCCCTTGGAGAAATATTATTTTATTGGTTTGGTAAATGTAAAAATATTAAGAAATAACACCATTCTTTATTGAGCAATGTTGAATTATTCGTAAAATAACTATATATATATATATATATATATATATATATATATATATATAATTATAAATTAAATATTAAAACATTTTTATTTCTTTTAGAGAAAAACAAAAGTTACGAAGCAATTGGGACATTGTATTAAAAAATAAGTTGTAATGTTATGTGGCCAATGCTACTATCGATACTCTTTATGTTCATTTATTATTATTATTATTTATGTAGTTAATATGCCATAAAAGATACTTTAAATAATCGAATTATATGGTGTTGTGACGTGAACCACAATAGAATTGTTTTTGCAATCATAATATATATATAAAAGGGAAAACCAATAAACTTTCTAGTAAACAATTTTTTATTTTTATGTTTTATTTTTTATTAGAAAAATAAAAAATAAAAAGACTATACCCATAAAATCTACATTATGTGTAAAGTGTGCCTAATTAGAATTAACAGGGGTAAACAACTCTCTGAACATAACTTAAAATGCTTTCTAAAACAGGTGTAAATAGCCCACTAAAATAGCCCTCCACGTCGCTACATCCACTCTCTTTGATTATTTTGGTTTCACCTGTTGATAAGTTCCAAATTGCTTAACCAAATAAAAACCTAATTGATAATGCAATCACATGTTTTTTTAGTAGTAGGCTTGCTCTCTTTATAATGAATCCATTGTTTGTGAAAATTTTAATAGGCTTGCTCTCACATTTTATTTTCTTAACAGTAGGCTTATAAGCTATCAATTGTTTGTGCCTGAGTTTAGACAAACCTATTGTTTTTTTTGGGTGAAAATTTGAAATACATTGATATATATTATATTGTGACAATGTTACTAATCCTTATCGAACTACTTAGTTCTTCAAATACTTTATGCAAAAAACTTGGGGTTTGAACTTTGAATCCTACAAATAGCCTTGTGAACTCATTGTTAAACTACCTATTATTAGGCGATATATTTATCAAGATGTAATTCGAGTGTTTTCTAACGTGTACTGTTCTTATCTTTGATGAGAAATAAGCAACAAATGAGTGGTCATGGTTCTTTTCCAATAAGATCATAAACCATATTGTTTTGAGAGAATTGTGATTTACATACTATTCTGCCCACTAAAAATAACTTGTTATTGTAGGGATTCAATAATCTCCTTGCCATATCTTTAAAGAATCCAAACAAATTCACATGACTTTGTTTGTATATAAAGGTTTTTCATTGAATGGTAAGGTATTCTACTTTAAAGTGAAAATGTAGTCAAGTACCCTCAAAACTGTTAACATTTTTGTTATTGGTAATTTGATAATGGTATAGATTATAGCAAGAATTAGCCCCATTGATAGCTTTTACTCTTGATGATAGAATGCTTTTGATAGCTTCTACTTTTGATGATATAATGATTTTGATAGCTTCTACTTTTAATAGAGAATTATAAGAGATTTGTTCTATGTGGTCATTTGTTAAGATTTCAATCTTGATTTGCTAAATATCGTTATTTGTAAGGTATGGAATTTTTTGGTGAGGGTTCACAACCAAAAAAGACATAGAATAAACAGGAAAAAAGAGTGTGGTATGAACGTTTCTTGAAGTACGTATACATGAGGTCAATAAATTTTTGCAATTGCTTCTTTCACGATACACAACTTTATAAGAAGATGCAATATGCAAGATCATTCACGGATTACGATAATAACCCTGTGTTGCTTAATGAAGCATAAGAACAAATTGACCGATGCAAGGAAGAAGAGATAGATGCAACGCCTTTGGGGTCACCAAGACAATGAGTACATGGCTAATTTACGTAATGAGATTGCGAATCAATTGGTGTTAAATGCTTCAAGTTAGACGTTGCACTCAACATATTGGGTTTGAACAAACAATTGTTATGCTTGTTTAGATTGAAATAATATCATGCATTTGCTTGGACTGTTAATCATTTTATATTTTTTATTTAATAATTTCCTTCAGAACTTTTGTCAGACGTTAATTTTCATCAAACACAAGACTGAGAGTAAAATGGTAATTTTATGTCATTCAGACTGTTGATTCAGAACAATTCCCAAACAACCATTTTATATCCAACACTAAATCATTGAGAGTCTATTTAATCATTCTGCACTCAATCATCCAGTATTTGTCAAACATCCCCTTACTTGGAAAGAAAGAGGGAGAGATAACTATACTCCTAACCTTTACTTCTATTTACACAACAACCTTTCAAGAACTGACATAAACTCAAATTAATCCCTTATATAAAACTGATAACCAAATTAATTATTACCACTTCTCTTTCTTAATGGAATTTCGTTCGGAAATTTGATCAAGTGAAGACTTGAGGGTACTTGTACTTCATCTTCGACTCTAGCTCCTAAGTAGCGTATTGCCCCTTGGGCATGGGATGATGACGACCTTTCAATCACTTAATATTACTATTGTATTCATGATTCGAGTTTGTGGTAAATCCTCTTAGTGGTTTTGCTAGAACATTGAGAATGCTTTCCTCTTGTGAATTTTTATGTTTGGGACCAAATTGGTATTTGTTTATGGAATTCCTTGGTATTCTAGTTCATATTTTTGTTTTAATTTGGGTTATTACAATAATAAATATTATTTTTTAAGAAATAGTAATTAATATTAAATGAAAACTATTACTTAAATTAAATTATACATTAATTATTTAGAATTATTAT